TTTTTTCTTTTTGACATTATTAAAAAAAACATTTTAAATATCCTAGAAATGTCTTCAAGGTAATGCCAATTTTAGATCTCTCTTAACTTCTGGCCGAGGAATTCAGGGCTTTCTGGCTAACTTTGGTGTGATAAGTATTTATCAGGAGCTGCTCAATTCTTTGAGTTGGAAACACAATTTTAAACATGTAAGGCGGGTATAGAATTCGCCAAAGGTAGTCGAGTCTATTCTTCTTAAAGAATAAAAAAGGCTTTCTGTTATCATTGTTGCACAAAGTCTAAGTTACTATAAGTTACTGCGGTGGAAACGCAGCAGCCGTGGGGTTCAGCCCAGGCGTGAAGACTAAATCCGTTGTGGGTGCGAAGGTGGCGCGTCTCAGCCCTCCACCAGCTTGCCCTGTGGGCAAAGCCTCCCACAGGCACTGCAGCTGAGTGATTGTCTGGCAGCCTTCCCATTTAACAAACTCGCAGGAGCCTTTTTACATCTAAATACTACGTGATAGGCAACCTCAGCGAGCCACATAGTGTGTGTGTGAGGTTCCCAAAGACTTTTCAATCATTCATTTCCATTCGTCAACTGAGCTTTTGTTTAGTGTGTGAATTTTTTTTTGAATGTATAGCAATAGGATGTTTCACTGGTGGCAATTCATCTTGGAGCATAATAAAATTAATTTGACCCACCCCCGCAAAAAAAAAAAAAAAAGAGTCTCACTACATTCTCAGTACGGACCCACAGATTTCCAAAGCTTTCCTGGCAAAGTGATACTTTTGGAAATGTACCTGAAAAGCACACACCCTATCCTGTTTTCTTCATGAGTGTTTCCCATAGTTTTCCACAAAGTACTCAGAAAAGCAGAGAAAAGTGAATTTCAGGAACCTTACCATAATATAGAACAGTGCACTAAAGCACTCAAAATATTTGAAGTCTTGGGTTTTGTGATAAAAATTTACCTACATTTTTCTATCTATTCTGTCAGTTTGTTGCAATGGAAGCATGCTTTCATTTAATTGTCAGTTCAACTATTTAACTATCTTCTCGAGCGTCGAATAATATTGATGCTTCTGGAAAACTCCTCGTGTTTACCTTGTGATTTTATGTAACTCTGATGTAGAATATTCTAGGGGTCCCCAGTGTTCTACTCCCTGCGAAACCATCCCCAAAACTCAGTGTCTTGGGATAACAACCACTTTATTACACCTCACCATTTTGTGGGTTGGGAATTTGACCAGGGCTCCCCTGGGAGGTTCTTCAGCTCTGTGCTGTGTCTACTGAGGTCACTGGGTGGTATCGAACTGGTGGGCAGGAGGGGCCCGGAGAGCTCCACTCAGTGTGGCAGAGTGGCTGGAAGTTGGTAAGAGAGCAGGCGATAGAATCCGCCCACCGTCTCCCCAGCACGGCTACCATAGGGCAGTCAGCCTTTCACCTGGTGACTCACAGACCCAGACAGACTGTATGTAGCTGCATGCTGACAGATTTCCTATGATCTTGCCTTGGAAGGTCTAAAATATCACTTTTACCTCATTCTAATAGGACGCTTTAAGATCATCTTTATTTTTTTTTTATTCTTATGTTAATCCCCATACATTACATCATTAGCTTTTGATGTAGTGTTCCATGATTCATTGTTTGTGCATAACACCCAATGCTCCATGCAGAACGTTCCCTCCTCAATACCCACCACCAGGC